CTGCTCTGAGTGGAGCAGGCTGGCGCTTCCGTTGAACCCAGGTACCTTTTTCTTTGGCTTCCTTCTTTTCCTGGTCATTTTCCTTCATATATTATAGGGAGCTATGTCTGCTCTTAGAATGCTTAATATGCTCAATATGCATATTAATTCTCTTGGCAAGAATCTTGCCCTTGTTTGTTTACAACTATGCCAACAGCATGCTGGGTAACATTGTAGACTCTTCCAGTTTTGCCATGGTAACACTTATGGGGCATTCCTTTCTGAATAGTACCCATTCCCTTGATGTCTACAATATCACCTTTCTAGTAGATTCACATGTATGTTGCCAAAGAAACCACTCCATATTTCTAAAAGGCCTAGAGCACGTATATCGGGAGCCTTTCCACTTTCCCTTTGTGTTCGTCATTTTGGTGAATTACTGGAAGATGGCAGTTCCAGCTAAAAGGGCATCTGAGGCATTCTTGCCAAAAATGATAAACCTATGCTAAACTGTAAGGAAGCCTCGAGGGACATTCAAAAAATAACTGGTTTGTACCCTTTCAAAGTGATGAGGTGATAAAAGACAAAGAATGTTCCATTTTAAAGAAGATTAATACATGACAAATGCGAAAACCCGATCTTGAATCTGAAAAATCTATGAGACAACTGGTGAAATCACAGTAAGATCAATAGTATTTTATCAGTATTAATTCCATTTTTGAAAATTACACATTATGGTTATTCACAGTGTTAGCAATTGAGAAAGGTGGTTAAAGGGTATAGAGAAATTCATACTATTTTTCCAAATTTTTTTAGTAAGTCTAAAATTATTTCAAAATGAATAGCTAAAAAAATTTAAAATTATGTATGTCAAAAATAGAAAAGAAAAGGCCTACATCTAGGTTAGTAGACACATCAGAATTTTCCCCAGCTGGTGACCCAGATAGAACGTTAGATTGGGAGAAAATTGAAGTGGCTTAATTGTCATATTGAAGGAATCACTTTATTGACCAATGAAGAAAAGCTCTGTAAGAGTTCTGCGTTGAGGAGAGCACAATGAACACAGGCTTGTGGGAAAGACAGCTTGGAGTGGAACATGACAGCTTGAGTGGAAAGAACATGAGGTAGAAACTGACCAGGAGATATAGAATTGAAAATGGTGGGTGGTGGGTGCTCCCTGGGGGGTGATTTCCCGCTTTCTGTCTGTCTCTCCAGCAAGTGGATGCACCCTATAGCAAAAATCTCTCTTTAAAAAAAAAAGAATGGTGGTGGGTGGGAAGCTAGGAAAAAGTTGTAGTTGGGGACCAAAGTCTGACTGCTTTTTCCTGTTCCAAAATTCTTTCCAAAGGGCCTAGAGGAAGTCATGCCTACAAATACTAACAGACTTACCAACATTAACAAACACTTTGTCCACTGATAGTAGGACTCTTCCTACATTCTGTCCCTGGCATAGTATGCTTACCGTGCCTATTAAGCCTTAGCTGTTAAAGTAAAACACAGACATACTTTTACTCATTTCTTCCTAGAACAGAGACCTTCCTTTCCAATCACCAACCTAAAATTTTATGAACCTTTCTATAACCTATAAGCCTCCACTTTCAGATATCCCACCTCTTTGGGCCAAATCAATGAAAAGACTCTTCACACTAAATTGCAAACTTTGTGTCTCTCATTCTCAAAACCAAATAAAAGGAGCCACTGTACCTAAGCTCCCTGAAAAATATGCTTGTCGTTCTCCAGGCCCACTGACTCAATTTCATGCTTAGTATATAAACTGTATTAATCATTATTTCTGCAGTTAGTTATTTTCATCGACACATAGGGATGAAATGATGAGATGCTAAGAACTGACAGGATTTATCACCTAACTTAACCAGGATTAATGCTTAAAGTCTTGAAGAATGATACCATTGGCAGAATAGGGAATTCTGAAGAATACCAAGTTTGAGAGGTCAAAGGTATATGGAAAATATGGCAAAAGTAAAAGCCAGACATGTTTTTTTCTCTTTCTTTTTAAAAATTTATCAGAAGTGCATGTGCTCACCAGAGAGAGGGAGCCAAAGGATCAGAAGAAAGAGAAAGCACCCCACAATGGAATGTGGTCAAACTGTAATACCTTCTCCATTTCTTCACTCTGTTAGGATTTTGGGGTATGATTTTCTTTCTTTCTTTCTTTCTTTCTTTCTTTCTTTCTTTCTTTCTTTCTTTCTTTCTTTTCTTTCCTTCTTTCCTTCCTTCCTTCCTTCCTTCCTTCTTTCCTTCCTTCCTTCCTTCCTTCCTTCTTTCTTTCTTTCTTTCTTGTAAAGTTTTTGCCATAGGGCACGTGTGTTCACCAGAGAGAGAAACAGAGAGAGAAAAAGAAATCATCCCCCCCCCCAAAGGTGGGATGGCTATGCTGCAATCCCTTTTTCTCCATTCCACTTCCTCTTAGGATTTCGGGCACACATGCACACTTGCCCGGCATGGTTTTTAAGTCACCAGGGCTGGGATTGCAATCAGTCATGTGGGAGTACACCACCACCACACCACCTCCTGGCCCTGCCTAGTGTTTTTTTTTTTTTTTTTTAAACTGCAGATGTGGGACTCAAACCATGTTGGAAGGGCTCTCTTAAACACTAGTCCAGGGGGCCAACCCAGATGTATTTTTAAGTCACACAGACATATGGTCTAATCTAAGAGGAAGGAAGGAAAAGGGAAATTTTGTCCTGGAGCCTATAAGAATAGGAGAGGGCAGGAACTCTATCACTAAGAGAAGTAGTGGGTGTTCTTAGTAGAAGGAGTCAAATTAATGTAAGAGTAGGTGCAAACTGGAATTTTATTAACATTTGAATGAATATATTGAAATACTCAAATAAATCTATTGCTAGAATAGCATGATTCCTGTTCTATACTACGGGCTGTAAGAGGATTAAAAATGGAAGACTAACCAAGGATACAGTAATCAGAAAAGAAAGTGTCGGGACCAGGAGATGGCAAAATGGTTACATCACTGGACTCCTACATGGCTGACTACAGTTTGAGTACTGGACCCAATGGCTTGAAACTCACACAGGGCACATGTACAAACATGGTCAAAATCCCAAAGAAAATGGAGAAGGGATTACAGTGTGGCATCCCCCATGGGGAGGAGGTAATTTCTTGCTTTCTGTCTCTCTAGCAAGTGCATGTACACTATAGTAAAAATCTTTCTTGAAAAAAAAAAAGAAGAAAAGAAAGTGTCAAGATTAAACTAACAGTTTAAGTAATAGGACTGGAGGCAGAAGATAAAGACCCTTTCTTAGGTATACACAATGTAAAAAGGATGATTGCTATGGTTTGCATATACATCCCCTCTCCATTTATGTCTTAACATTTGGGGAGGGGCCAGCAGATGGCATGGTGGTTAAGGGCACTGGATTCCCACATGGCCAACCTTGGTTCGAATCCCAGAACGGGTGGCTTGCTTTCTCGTCTTTTCTTTTTCTTGCTCACTCTGCCCTCTCTGGTCGAATTAATAAATAAAACTAAGTAATTTTTTTTTTTTTTTTTTATTTTTGGGCCCCAGTATAATAGGTATAAAAAAAAA